AGAGAGGTGAAAGAAGAGGTAGAGAAAAGACGAAGAAAGCCGGCACTCCCACACAAAAATATCACCGTTAACGATTACCAACCCCTCTTTTCGTCCCGCGCGCTCGTTATATTGTGTCCCCGCCGCGCGCGCCAATTTAGAAACAAAAGACGGGCGGAAGGCGCGGCCTGATTGGCCGACCGGTCCGCGACTCGTCTCTCTGATTGGCCCGCGGGACCGCCCCCATCCTGCAATGGCCGCTTTGTCGTTTCACGGCGCCGTTACTCTCTTCCTCTCTCTCTCTCTCTCTCGCCCACCCTCCCTCCCCCTCAACCTCTCTCTCTCTTCCGTATACGCGGCTGTACGCTTCAGCCACGAAGCTTCAACAACCCCGTGAATCGCGACTCGACTACGGTACCTACCTACCTACCTGCCTACCCCTTTCCCTCGAGTCTCTTTTTACTCTTCTTTTCCCCTTTCTCGCAATCTTTCTCTATCTCTCTCCTCGTCTCGCGCTCCTTCTCCGTTCACCTAATCGATGCATCTTCCTCGCTCTCACCTTCCCGTCGTCGTTTCTTTACCACCTCTGGTCCCTTATCTCCTCTTTGCGATTCCTTTGCAACCTTTGTTGCGCGGACCACTACCATCCAATTGTCTCTCGAGTTATATCAAAATATACAAGGTATATTAATATATAATCGTAGAGATCAAAATGTAATAGACGCGATAATGTAATATAAAAAAGTATTAAATTGTTTATTAAATTATAAACAATTTAAGTTTACGTTGAACGAAGCGAAGCGAAGAATAATCGTCTCAGAATTGATTCTTCTGAAAGATGTTCCACGAGTATATTAATTACGCCTTGTAGTTCAATACCACGCATGCGAGTGTATTGCTCATTTATGCACGCGTGAACCTTAACACGCGCGCGCATATCCACGTGCCACCACTATACTTGCAATACTCGGCTCGAAAGGTTATATTCCGAAGAGAATCCGAATTCACTTTTTCTTCCCTGTCCCGAGAATTTTCCCCAACAGTAATGTGAATTTTTTGTAAAGATATACGCGCAAATATGTCGAAAGATGATGGAAAGATGATAGACCCAAGTGTGGAAGGGTAAATGACGATGAGGAGGACGAGAGAGGAGGAACGGAGAGAAAGAGAGAAAGGGGAAGTTTGTCCCGGGTCCGCCATGCGGAAACTATCTCAGTCTGGTACTCGACGAGTCCACGGTAACTAACCGTCAGCCCGGGAAAATTCTCCCTTTTATAGTCGCGCCTTTTGGACTTGCCATTCTCCACCCGCGACAACCAGCCACCGCCGCACCCCTTACCACTTTCATTTCTGACTGTTCTTTCGCCGCTTTATGCATACTGTCGATAATTCCGCGTGATATCATCGAATGAGTTGGCATTTGTGATCGGGTAAAAGTCGCCCGTTGGATTGCCGTAATTGTTTCGAATTGTTCTATTTAACCGTTACTTTTGCCTACCTCTTTTCTCAAGGATTCATCGCACGTTCGTTTCAATACGTAATTTCAATATGATAAAATTGATTTTCGATCCCTCGGAGGAATATCGGTTTTTTCGAAGAATATCTCGAGAAGAAAGAAAGATTTTTCGACAGATGTTTTCCAAACGTGTTGTAAACGCGTCTTGCGATAAATAATAATCGAACGGAGCGTAATAAATTTCATTCCTTCGACGAGGTTAAACGACGTTACTTTGCCGTCCAATTTTTCAGTTTCAGCTTATCGGAGCGGATATGTAAAGGGACCGGGGCATCTTTGTTACGTTATTATTATACATCAATAACGTATGAATTTATGGAATTAATTGCCTGGGACGGTAATTTGTAGAAATGTAACTAACACCGAATACTCGCTAATTGATAATGATTCTCTTTGACGAACGAACGCGCTTTAAATTTGTTTGTAAAATCGTCGCGCGTTGTTGTCGCGCCGAGCCCGAATTTTCAACGATAAAACGACACCCGTTGTAATTGCATGAAAACGTATTGGACCTTTATATTTCCACTGATTATACCGTATAATCGTCACGGGCAGCACGTTAAATTTTCCAAGAGTACGTTACGTTGTTAATTCCCGTTAATGAACAAAATTATCGTTAAAGCAGATTGTGGTTTTAATAGCGAATTATAGGCGAAATTTTCCGCAAACATTCGAAAATTATTCAAGAAACGAAAGCTTGAACGTGACGAAAAATGAAACTGGCCGTTCGATGTAGTTCCCGTCTTTGCAAATTTTTCAGTTCAACGGTAAATGAAGTAAAATTATATTATATGTTAATTTAATAGATAAATTATGCGAACAACGCGCACAAGATACATCCCCCTTCCCCATTCAAAACAACCATTTTTAATTTACACGTAGTAATTCGTGCGAGTGAAAATGACTCGGTTTAATCACACCAACGATCTAATCGTCATTTCCATTAATTAATTTAACTACAATCCTTGAATTTTTATGGTCCAAGTTTAACGAACAAGGACACTTTTTTTCACATCTCGATAGATATTTTATCGTAAATGTTTTTCAAACGAGAAAAGAAAAAAAGAAAAATAATATTTAACGATAGAAGAACACAAATAATTGGAACTTAAATAAATCTGCCATCATCAAAGTATATCTCGATGGTCAGTTCGAAAATGTTTCGCCAAATTATTAACAATACGTAAATTTTCGAGTGGCGAAATATCAGAGAGGTTGGAGAAATAAGTCGTAGCTTTTGATCAATTGCATCGCGTTTGACGGAATCTCGATCGCGCGATGGAAACTCGATACGGCTGAGTCGCGAATATCAGAAGGAAACGGTATGGCATCGAAGCCGTCCGATTGGTAGGTCAGAAGGTCGGATTTCATAGGTCTTTTGATTTTCGCTCACCTGTATCCTGTCTTCGGGCAGATCGGTTCGAAGGCTGAGCATCTCGCGAGCGTACACGTCCGGATAATGGGCTTCTTTGAAGGCTGCCTCCAGCTCCTCCAGCTGCTGTGACGTGAAGATCGTCCTGGAGCAACAACCGTATGAACCTAGTTATATGCCATTACAGCTTTTCCCTTAAAGCTAGCCTACACTCGAAGGAAAAAGCTCGCGTGGTGTGAGGGAGAAGGAAGAGGGTGGGGGGGCGACGAAATGAGAAATATTTCACGCAAGTAAAATTGCTAGGGACAAAAAGTTGATCGTTATCGAATAATCGTGGGGGGGGAGGGGAGG